AAATAAATATGTATACTGCAAATAGCACATAATACTCTGATTGCAGTTCCATAGCCTTTTTAATAGGTGATTTTCCGTACAATTGCGAGATCTCGCGAGATGCATGAAAGACGCGCGTCGAACGTCTGCCGCAAAAGTCGAACGAATTGATTTTGATCTCGAATTTCTTTATTTCTTAACTCATATCGACCGGCCGATCTTCGACAGAGGAATATTGCTTCCGAATACCCTTACTTAATCGAAATTGTTTATCATCAAATGTGTACAGCATATTATTAAGCATGGAAATGTCCCCCGAAATACTTTCGCGTTTGTCGAATCCCACGCGATGTTTGACGCCATTACGACGCTATGACCTTTGTTTGTCCTGTTTTTACGATCTATTTCACGCATAACGCGTGATTCTCGCAGTGAACGGAAAATGGCCTGGCCATTTTGCCAGTGTGTTTATTTTGTCCGACCTAAGGTTACCAAACTATGAAACAAGAGTAGCAATTAATGGATATATTTTCATGTTAAGTTCTGCTTTGTTATGTATGCTTATGATAGGGACACAGTCGAAAGTCATCGTATAGATGACTATCATACCAGGGGGATGAAAACGTCCGTGCTGTGGCTTTCATGAATCGGCGATTTGATAGATGTTGTTCGTTTTTTTCTGAATTGCAATCTACCAAGTACGGGCTCCCGTGTCACATCGGTCATTTTTTTTGAACTACTCGACCTGACTCCTAGTTTATGTGGTCGAATATACTGACCTTAACAATACAGCATCGTCCTGAATAGTATTTTCCCACGAACATCACTCTTTGTTTAGTACATATCGGCTAAACTGTACATGAAATGTTATAGAAAATGACAATTAAACAATGCCTATACTCTGTATTGTCACAATGTGAGGCCTGTTTATCACTAATGAGAGGGCACCTACACTGGACAGGGGTTTCTTTTACCGATAGTATGGGACAACAGTTACTGGATATGTAATACACATACACTAAAATATCGAGGTAAAGGTCATGGCTTTAATACCTCTCAAAATAAATACACTAATCAAAACACAGAAAAATACAATGAATAAATTCACTAAAATAAGGGTTTGCTTAGGAAAGTGTGCATTGATGATAACTCACAGTTCCAGGATGTAAATATGGATAAATATGGCTTCTGCAACGCAACAGGAGTCTTGCTTGCAGGAAAACGCTGGTAATCTGGAGGGCACCACTGAAAGCAGGAGATCGCAAAGCAGTTCATACAAGTCTCACAGAACGGTGACTCAATCCTGTATCACTTGTCTCACAATATCGCAGTAGCTACACACAGGATACACAGTAGACATGATGGAACCCAACAGTCCTCAGTGTGTCCAATTTTTAGGCATAAATGGCCCAGATTCAGGGACACCACCTTGGTTCCCACGTGAGCCAAACAGAAGGGGATCTTGCTAGCAGCTGTGTCACGTAGGCAACTCAGTAGCTCATAAAGATCTTTAGTTACTCAAATCGCAGTACCCCTGGTAGATCCCAATTGTCTTTTTAAACTTGTAAACACCCTTTGTTATGTAAATGACAGGCATACCTGGGTAGATTCCAACTGTCCTTCCGGAGTTAAAAACAAGTATAACCTGTCAATCATATCTATGGCAGTTATCACACAGCAATGCATACCGCTTCTTCCCATGATTCCAGCACACTTTTATTTGCAGGGTTTGGGGTAATATGGTAAAAACAAAGAATAAATGATGCTGACATTTCCCTCTAATCAAGACTGAACATAGTAGATTTTCAGTCCAATAATCAGCATCAACTGCCAATAAATTTACATTTATTAAAATTTAAAGAAAACAATTCAGTAACAATACTAATAATCTTTTCGCATCACATTACCAATGTTATACAACATTCAGTCAATTTGTTCAACGCAAGAAAACATTATTGAATATTCAATTACATGTAGCTAGTACATTGATAATGATTTTAATGCGATATCGTAAGCATTTCTTTGCAAAACTCACCATTAAGTAACACGTTTGATTTCCCACACAAGAAATTTCACAGTTGTAATATTTTGCAATATTTTTTTTAATTTATTTCAGTGCATATAAACATCTTCAGCAGTGAAGGAATTGTGCTTAAGAAGAAAAATTGTGCTATCACGTTGGGTGTTTCCAGGATGAAGTACATGATGCTGTTTTTACCAAGTTGCAGTGCTGTCACTGATTTAATTGCTTCATTTTACTTCGCCATTATATGTGGAGAATGAAGCATTTTTTTCTGGTGGATTCTTGGTGGGTAATGCATTTGAGTCTTCTTTGTATATTCCAGGACCTCATTAGGCTTTGTTCACTGGTCATGTCTGCCCATGTTCCTCTCTAGAAAAGCTTTGGCACTCGTAAAGGCCATCTTCCATCGCTTTATCGGGCAGAGACAAGGTACTTTTATTAATAAACGAGAACTCTAGCACGATATTTACATTTTCAAGTTTGAGCTTCAAATTGTCTGCTCCTTCAGTTCTTTCAGTCCTTGCAAACATTCTAACACATAATACAATATTCAAGAACAAAAGTCATAACTCTATGACCATTGTTCCTAACATTTTCTTCAATATCTGTTAACAATTCAGAAGACGCTATTTAACTTACTGACATGTCCATTCAACTGATGTAATCCTACACTCAATAAACATTGTAAAAATATTATTACATCATATCCTTTCAACCAAATGGAAAATAACGTACCCAACATACGACAAGTCACAAGTACGAAAACACACAACTGACAAAAAAAATGAACAATCAAGAGAGTTCTTCGCCAGTTCGTAGCTGTAATTGGACTTTTGTTTGGAGATCTTAGCTGTTACACTCATGAAACTGTTCTGTTGTCTTTTAAAATTGCATAAGCTACATATCATTCACCAAATAAACAGTCAGCATGGGATTATGGGGTTTACTCTATTTGACGTAAATTAATTTTGTATAGAAAACCGTGACAGGTAGAATGAGGTTTCAAAATAAACATTTATTCATTTTCTAAAATGTACATGCTATTACATTCATCTGTGTACAACGAGTAATAACTAATATTAGTTTTTTACCTATCAATATGCACACTTCATTGAGTTGTACGTTATTTTTGACAGGTTACATTTGTGAACTTTTAATAGTATGTGTTACAAGTTACAAGTGACGTCATCCCCGCGCACTAGTTGATGTACTAGTCTCCTTTGGGTACTAGTAATTTCCCTGGCGCTACTATGATAATTTAGCCGATAACACGTGATCCTGTTTTGACCAATTACAGTACAGTATTAACGAGTGATGTGTTATAATGAACAATATGTCATCGAGTCAATATCATCAACTGAAACCATTTATGAATACAACAGCATTATGTCATTTGCATTCAGCAAAGAGTCGAGTGATATATAATATGCAAAAGTATTTATGTAATCTTTCATTCCCAAATATCTTAATCATTACCACAAGTTGCAGGAAAATAGATGTCTAACACATGTGTAGTTTATACATAACTGTATAATAATTTAAATTTAGATATACACACGTACTTAAAACAATCAATTAATGTTTTGAAACAGTTGTTTTCTAACACACATGCTCATCATTTTTATAAATAGAAGAATATCCTGATTGACATGTGAACGGCTTCATGAATATGTATATTTACCGACTGTACGGCAGCTTTTTAAAATTATACTGGCATCCGGTAGTCAACAAGCATCGTCTTCTGAACCGTTATAGAAAATACATTCGAGCAGCAGTGAGTATTTATTTAGTATAATTTAGCATAGAATATACGCTACTCTAAGGTCTAAGGTCTTTTTAAAATGTTGTATGTTACATGTGCATCATTACTTGTAAGATAAAGTACGGCGACGCGTTTCAGTAGCACACGGTACTTTGTCATGGTCGATCGTATAATATTTGATGAGAAGCATTCGACATTTTGGCAGTGATTTGATATATTTTCCTAAGTTGCCTGTAATCAAAACACAATGACCATAAATAAATGTTGAACGATCCACAATTTGCTGGCGAAGTTACGGGGAGACTTTAAATTCTCAAATGGTTCATTGGCGTTCAAATGATTATTTCGCTTATCAGTTGAATGCTACCGTAAAGGAAGTCGAGATTTTTAGTACCGTTTTGACAATATTGTTTTATTTCGATGTAACTACATCAACAACTACTAAAAACTGAATACAGAGTACCCAGAAATATCATATTCAGAAATTTATCCTACTTTATATTTATAGCTCGGCGACGGGGATAAACCCTGGAGCATATTGAGCATGTCATGTATGCAAATTAATACGCTGTGCATAATTTGTATATATTCGTTTACTTCTACAAAAATACGCTGATAGCAGTTCTGTAGCCTTTTTTATTGCCTTGCCAGTTGGTTTATTTCGTACGTCGTAAAGTTAGCACGCCTTGAAACAAAAGCTATGATTACCAGATATACCTTTATGCAGGATTTAGTTTTGTCATAACGTGTATGAGAGGGTTGCAGTCGGAAGTCATCGTATAGATGACGGGTATATATGTGTTGTTTGCTTTCTTTAAAAATATATGTGACCGGAATTGCAATTCACCTAGTACGGGCTCCAGTGCAACACTAGGAAATTCGCTACTCGGCTTGCCGATATTTTATGTCGCTAAATATGCAATTCTTCTCACGAAAAGCATGTCACAAAATAAGTTTTTCCTGACCATCATTTACCAACGTACAGCACCCAAATATAGTTATAACCTCACGCCCAACATGAATTGTATGATTGATCGGTAGAGGGCGCTGACACACACTCATATACCTTCACTCTGCATACATTACTAAATTTGTGGCGTTTTTGCATATTAAAAGAGTTTATTACGCACGTATTCGTCATTTCTATAAATAGAGGTAGATCCATGTGAACGGCTTAGTGAATATTTATATTTTCTGACTGTACAGTAGCTTTTCAAATTATACTGGCATCCGGCAGTCAACAAGCATCATCTACTGAACCGTCATAACAAAATACATTCGAGCAGCAGTGAGTAATTATAAGTATAATTTAGCATAGAATATACACTACTCTACTTGTAAGATAAAGCACTGACATTGTCGAGACAGCGACGCGTTTCAGTAGCATTTTGTTCTTTGTCAGGTCGATCGTATATTATTTGATGTGAAAGCATTCGACATTCTGGCAGTGATTGGATGCGTTTTCTTAAGTTGTCTGTATTCAAAAGACAATGACCATAAATCAATTTTGAACGATCCACAATTTGCTGACATATTCATACAAAATCTCAGGAGGACCTAAAATCTTCAAATGGTTCTTGAGCATGCAAATGACTATTTCGCTCTTAAATTGAATCCTACCGCAAAGGCAGTCAAGATTTTTAGTACTGTTTTGACAATATTGTTTTATTTCGATGTAACTACATCATATCGCTCGTGAATGTAACTAACCGATTGAATTCACAGGCTATTATTCAGATTTGATTTCGTTTTATTTGACAATTATTGATATTTACAAAGCACTAAATGCATATAGTTGAAATTTGTTGTACAAATACAGTTTATTTAGGATTACATATTCTGATGCATGTTATTTTTTTATTGGTGATGTGATTCTAATTGATCCCTTTTTATCAATGTGTCATACCAGATTTGAGACATGTTTACATTCACTGATAATGTTTGAATTTTGTACACAAGAGAGACATACTGGTAGCAATATTTCCCAACAGTTGTTTTAAAAGGTTTTATTGAGAGCTAACTGGCTGGCTGCCATTTTTTGTTCAGAAAACCTGAAGCTCTTGAATTATTTATTTTTTCAAGACCAAGAAGGACAATGTCAATACCAATTACTTGCTAAACGGAAGTCTGACAATTACTGAATTTGTATTACACACTGATAATGTTTTAATTTGGTACACAAGAAAGACAAAATGGTAGCAATTTTTCCCACAGTTTTTTTGAAAGGTTATCTGAATGGGTGCCATTTTTTGTTCAGAAAATCTAAAGCTCTTGATTTATTTATTTGTCCCGGACAATGTCGGTAACAATGACTTGCTAAACGGTAGTCTGTCATTTACTGAATTTTTATTTTCTGCATTTACACAGGCATCATCAACAACATGGTAGAAATGAAAATGTTTCTGTTCCTGACCCTTGTTGTCATGGTAGTTGTATGTGAAGAACAAGAAAAGCCAATATTAGCAGAAATAGTAGCTAAGTTAGTTGAAGAATACCCAGAGTTGGCAAAGCACTTTGGAAATGAGGTCCTAGCCGATTTAGAAGACGATAATGTGAATGTTAATGAACAAGAGTGGCCAGTGTTAACAAAAATATTGGCTTACATAATTGAAGAATACCCAGAGATGGCAGAACACTTCAGAAATGAGGTCATAGCTGATTTAGAAGCCGATAATGTGAATGTTAATGATATTTCGTCATAAGAATAACATACAGTATAGCTGTACTGTTATACCCACATAACGTGGACTGAATGGATTGAAATAAACATTCGGAAACCTTATACTTGTAAATGAATGAATGAATGAATGAATGAATGAATGAATGAATGAATGAATGAATGAATGAATGAATGAAGAGTTATCGTGAAAATACGCCATTTGTTTAATTGAAATGATATGCCTTGCAAGCTCAAGTGTGATTATATTTTGTATGTTTCAAATCACCACCAACTACAAAAAAACTGAATACAGAGTACCCAGAAATATCATATTCACAAATTTATCCTACATTATATTTCAGTGAAGGAGATAATCTCAGGAGCATATTGAACAATTCGTGCAAATTAAAACGCTGAGCATATTTTTTATGAATACGTTTACTGCTACAAGCAAAAAAACGCTGGTAGCAGTTCAGTAGCCATTTGTATTGCCTTGCCAGTTGGTTAATTTCGTACATCGTAAGGTTACCATGCCTTGAAACAAAAGCTGCGATGAACAGGTATACCTTCATGCAGGATTTTATTTTTTCATTACGTGTATGAGAGGGTTGCAGTCGAAAATCATTGCATT